AAAACTAACTGGAAGCATATTAATAGCCAATTGTTTTTCATAAACATCTAAACCGAGTTCTTCTTCCATAAATAAAGAAGTAAAAGTCCTTGCAACAAAACAACTGTCTTTCACGCGTTGATCACAATTTCCCAGTACGGTTATTGGATTTGGTCCATTCTTCAAATCAGCACATTCAACATAACCAAATCTGCCTACTGAAAAATAAGAAAGTTTAAAATGGCTTATCTTAAAGGGTTTTACGGCCTATCTGAAACTCCTTTTTCTCCAAAAAAATTCTGTTTTCAGTTAAAGGTTAGCAAGGACTGTACTTCAAAAATATATGTATTAAACTTACATCCATCCGGAGTCTCTAGCAAAATCGTGAAAGTGCCAATTGGAAGTGTCGTGAAGAACTTCTCGTCGTAACCAATAATTGAATGAACGGAATCTTGTTGAGTGACGGCTGTCGCTAATGTCCATTCTATTTCTTTCACCAATGAGAGCATTCTCTGAAAGTTTTAAAAAGATTTAAGGGTAAATAGAAGTATTTTTTCTATTTTTACTAAATTTATCCTAAAAAATAGGACTTTTTAAAACGCTCTTTTCTAGAAAGAGCTATTAGAATTTAATTTTTTTCTGTCTACTAAAAAATAAGACAAGTTTAAAAGGTAAAAGAAGTTTAAAAACTTCACTTACTGCGTTGGGAAAACTCCAAGTATTGTTAGTATAAGTGCTGATAGACTCGGGAAATTCGATGTTCGGCATTAATTTTTGAATTTTTTGATGTTCTTGGTTTGCATTATTGCTTTGATGTTTGTAATTGTTTTTCTTCATTAATTGTTTGCCTTCTTTCTTTGATTTAATTTTTAATTTTCCCAATTGCTTATTTTGTTTAGGTTGCTTCTGAAAACAAAAAATTCTTTTCAAATAATAAAGATAAATATTCTACCTTATTCACTTTGTATTTTTTCTTTCCACATGTCAACAACAAGACGGCACAACAAACAAAAGAGTAAATCATCAAGCAATAATAATAGCAGTAGTTACAGAATAAATAAAACATTTGTTAAAAATTTTTAGGGGTTTAGGGACTTTGATGGTAAGGTTTGTGTAAATTGGTATCTTTTATAGTACCGGGTGCGGCAAATTAATTTATTATCAATTTTCATTAATTTTGAAGAAAGTTATGAGGCCTTAATTTGCCGCACTCTGTAATAATTTTTTGGCTACCAGAGGTGGTTAAACAAGCTGTATTTGGGAGTGTTGGAAATAGGAAAAATCAAAACTTAATTGGGAAAGTGAAATAAATATGTACGGGTTTGAAATCCAACCACTTATTTTTAGTTTTATTTCAGGATTACTATTCGAAAGTCTACAATAACTTGTTCTAATCCTTATATAATTTTAGAATGCTTTGTCTGTTTCCAGCTTTGTATTTTGCGAGACTTGTTGTTGTGTTTGGCGTTGTGTTTTTTTTTGATAAAAATAACAGAATGTCCCAGAAAAGAAAAATAGTAATTTGTATTTAGAGGGCTCCTATACAACTCATAACATCCTTAACTCATCGACAAGGCCAAAAACGCCCAACTCATCGAAACGGGTGAAATATCAATATTTTTATTCCATTCCTCCCTTATCCGTCAAAATCCACCGATATTGTCTCCAAATTAGTCAATATTCAACATATCTATAATTTAAAATTTTTTTTTGTGAAAATCCCGAAATCCCGCTGGATCCCACTAAATTTTAGAACGGGATTACTGGATTGATTTGTTTTTGATTGTTGTGTTTAGTATATTTTCAAATTAAAACTTTGTTTCCATTGAATTTGTTGGTTTTCTTTAACGTCTTTTGTGTTTTAATCTTTTAATTTTGATTTTTGAGAATAATTTTATATGAGAAAAAGTGATGAGTTTTGTTCCTGGTTTGAATATTTCTGATTCTAAGAAGGTCCCTGATCCTGGTACAATTGTTGACACAGTAGCTGAGATTGCTGAGGAAGCAGAAAAATGTAAGGTTTACTTTTTGTCTAAAGACGTTTAAGAAATAATTTTTAGCCAGTATAAGTTCAAGATTTGGCTTTCAATTTGATGATGATCCTGAGACCTTTATTGAGTTACGGATTCTACGTCGTTTGTGGATTGTCTTTATATTCACTTATTTGTGCAGCTACTCAGGATGAGTCTATGCCTTGTTCGAGTAATCGAATTGATTCTGATAAAGAAGTAATTTGTAAAATTTGTTTTTGTTTTTAATTGTTTTTTAGGACGAACAACCTTCGCAACAGAACGTGAATGGAGGGGGACGAGTGGATGAGGTTTATTTGTTGAATGATTAATTCTCGAAAATTTGTGAATGTTAAGGTTGTGTTTGAGAAAATTTTGGCAAAAAAGATAGTAGATGGCATCATTTATTACAAAATCAAATGGAAAGACTATGACAGGCCTGAAGATGACACGTGGGAAGAGGTTGATTTTGTGCCGTTAAATATTTTATTTATAATTAGATTGACAATTGTCATTGTGTTGACCTGATTAAAGAATACGAGGATTCTCACAAGAATGACGAAGTGCAAATTATCTCAACTAAACCTCGTGGAAGGAAGACTCGTGGAAGGAAGCGCAAATTTCGCAAAAGCATGGTATTTTTTATTTTGTAATACCCTTCGGTTTTAATTTTCTTCAGCTTAATCTAGCATCTAAATTTTAAGTTGAAAAAGAAAATTATTTCTTAAACGGAAAAGGTATGGTAGTGGACACAATTTTGGGATTTAGCAGATTACCTGACAATGGGAAGACGATGGCTTTGGTTTAATTAAATTATTTTTAATAATTTTTAAAGTTCTCTTAAGGTTTGTTATTTGGATGGACAAATCGAGTATATCCCTGTTGATTTATTGCATAAAAATGAAAGTGGAAAGGAGGTTTAACGAGACGAACTGAGATAATGAAAGATGGCCTTAAAATTGTTACAGATTTTATCGAAAATGACGTCAATGGAGCTAAGAAGATGTCGAAGGTATGTGAGAGATTTTAAAATTTTTCCGCATTGTTCTCCGGGTAAATTAAATGGGTCGCCCCCTTTTTGTAGGAATGTTTTGTAAATAATTTTGGCAATAGTGTATAGTATACATTTGGAAAGGTTTCGATACAAGTCTCATACCATTTGATTTGTCTCGACATGCTGATGTGAGTCGAATGGTACCACTTTTCCGGACCAGCGGACCGAGATATAGATCCCCGAAAATCGAAAAACCATGGGGGGAGTAAGCACAATTTTGGGCACAATTTTAAAATGTTTTTGAACGCCTGACCTAAAGTGGGTTTTTGGGTCTTGCCAATGGGTACAATTATTTACCTGACATTTTTGTTCTAGTATATCTTTAATCCCTGTGTTATTTTGTAGGTTGTCACAACATACAAAGTCATTACAAAAAAAGTTCCTCGAGTCGTTGCAGAACGCAAAAAGTGGAAAAAGTTTGGTCAATCAAAGGAGGATGGTCCAGGTCCTCATATCAACACAACTTATGTGGCTGTTGAAGTTGAATTACAATTTCTTCATAATAAATTTGGGGAGACTGACGACCTTTTAATGGATGAAAAGGGACAAGCAACAAAAGGAATGCATTGTCGTTTATGCAAATCTGATGAACATTGGAGTACTCATTGTCCTTATAAGGTTTTTATTTTGAAAGAAAAAATTGAAAAAAAATTTTTAAGGAGCATTTCAAAGGAAATGAAGATTCTGATTTGGCTGATAAATCTGCTGCTACAAGAATTGGTGGTGGTCCAAGTCAATTACCTCGTGGTACTTATATACCGCCATCTCTGCGAAATGTTGGTAGTGGGGCTGCTATTGGAGGTTAGTAAATATTTTGGTGTTTATTGTTTACAATTTGGGTATTCTTTTAAGTCTTAATTTTGACAAGTATCTTTTCGCGGGATTTAAGTTATGATTACTTTTATTCTTTCGGGATAAATATTTGAAGTTAGAACCCGTGTAAGAACTATTCGTTTAGCAAAATATAATTTGACTAACAGCTCATTGGACTTATAAAGCCAAACTTTTCGTGAATTCTTAATCTTGGCCAATTTTAGAAAGAAATCAGCTCTTTTCCGTTATTTAAAAAATTAAGCTCTATATTCCTGAAAAAGATTTTTAGATTCTAATTTTTTAACCAAAAATTTAAATTTTAGTTTCTGAACGTCATTCGGATGAGACAACTGTTCGTATAACTAATTTGCCTGAGGATTCTGATACTTTGGAAGATGATTTGAGGGGAATGTTTTCTAAAGCTGGAAAGATATTGCGCTCATATGTTGCTCGAGATAAAATACATAACAAACCAAAAGGATTTGCTTTCATTACTTTCGCGCAGAGAAACGAGGCAGAAAATGCAATTCAAAACTTTAATGGAGCTAAATTTGAACATTTGATTCTTAAAGTGGAATGGACAAAGTTAGTTATTTTGTGAATAAAATTTGAAATAATTGTATTTGGTTTTAATTAAATGATATAAACAATATAGAGATACTCATAAAGGAAAAATACAAGAAGGGGGAAAAAAGTCCGCATCCCATTTGCGGGTAGGTAGGACATCAACACCATCTAGTGAGCTCTAGTGGGGTTTTCTAACTAACAAGGAACCAATATCGAACTGTCAGGAGTACGCATTCTATTTAAGGACATCTCAAGGCATTTTTAGGCCCAGGGGTGTATCTAAAACTATGTTAAGGAGACTTTGTTCAAATCCTAATAGGATTTGAATTTTTCGTGATACATTCAAAAATAATTTTTTTAATATTAAATTTTTTTAGACCATCAACGAATTAAATACAAAAAGAATAAAGGGAAGAGAAAATTATTTTGACAATAAATATTTTGTTTTGTAAAGAAATTTGTGAATTGAAATAAAATTATATGTTGTTAAATATTTTGTTTTCCCACATTTAAGTTCTTGATAAACGAGACTGAACACCTAAAAAATAATAAATTAAAAAAATTTATTTTCAACAACCTCAATAGGTTACTTCATTTTTCACTGGTTTCATTGGAATTTGATATCTTGGGAAAATCATCTTAAACACTTCCATATATTTCTTCACAAAGTGTGCGATTATTCCACCTTTTTCTTTTTCGTTTATGTTGTTCCATTGATGCTCCATATTCTTTGGAAGAATGAGATGTTTTACGCCCAAACGTATTATAGCTTTTAATTTGACTGGGAGACCCGTAACTTCTATTACTTCGCCAGTAAGACTGATTTCGCCAGTCATAGCATAATCTTAAAAAATATTTTTTTAATTAATTAAGAGTTTAATTTTTATCTATTACCATTTTCAGGTGCCATTTTTAATAAACGTGAGAGCATTGAGCTAACTATTGATATACCAGCACTTTCTCCGCTCTTCGGCATTCCAGCCTGAAAAAAAAGAAAAAAATTTTTAGCGAAAAAAAACTAACTGGAAGCATATTAATAGCCAATTGTTTTTCATAAACATCTAAACCGAGTTCTTCTTCCATAAATAAAGAAGTAAAAGTCCTTGCAACAAAACAACTGTCTTTCACGCGTTGATCACAATTTCCCAGTACGGTTATTGGATTTGGTCCATTCTTCAAATCAGCACATTCAACATAACCAAATCTGCCTACTGAAAAATAAGAAAGTTTAAAATGGCTTATCTTAAAGGGTTTTACGGCCTATCTGAAACTCCTTTTTCTCCAAAAAAATTCTGTTTTCAGTTAAAGGTTAGCAAGGACTGTACTTCAAAAATATATGTATTAAACTTACATCCATCCGGAGTCTCTAGCAAAATCGTGAAAGTGCCAATTGGAAGTGTCGTGAAGAACTTCTCGTCGTAACCAATAATTGAATGAACGGAATCTTGTTGAGTGACGGCTGTCGCTAATGTCCATTCTATTTCTTTCACCAATGAGAGCATTCTCTGAAAGTTTTAAAAAGATTTAAGGGTAAATAGAAGTATTTTTTCTATTTTTACTAAATTTATCCTAAAAAATAGGACTTTTTAAAACGCTCTTTTCTAGAAAGAGCTATTAGAATTTAATTTTTTTCTGTCTACTAAAAAATAAGACAAGTTTAAAAGGTAAAAGAAGTTTAAAAACTTCACTTACTGCGTTGGGAAAACTCCAAGTATTGTTAGTATAAGTGCTGATAGACTCGGGAAATTCGATGTTCGGCATTAATTTTTGAATTTTTTGATGTTCTTGGTTTGCATTATTGCTTTGATGTTTGTAATTGTTTTTCTTCATTAATTGTTTGCCTTCTTTCTTTGATTTAATTTTTAATTTTCCCAATTGCTTATTTTGTTTAGGTTGCTTCTGAAAACAAAAAATTCTTTTCAAATAATAAAGATAAATATTCTACCTTATTCACTTTGTATTTTTTCTTTCCACATGTCAACAACAAGACGGCACAACAAACAAAAGAGTAAATCATCAAGCAATAATAATAGCAGTAGTTACAGAATAAATAAAACATTTGTTAAAAATTTTTAGGGGTTTAGGGACTTTGATGGTAAGGTTTGTGTAAATTGGTATCTTTTATAGTACCGGGTGCGGCAAATTAATTTATTATCAATTTTCATTAATTTTGAAGAAAGTTATGAGGCCTTAATTTGCCGCACTCTGTAATAATTTTTTGGCTACCAGAGGTGGTTAAACAAGCTGTATTTGGGAGTGTTGGAAATAGGAAAAATCAAAACTTAATTGGGAAAGTGAAATAAATATGTACGGGTTTGAAATCCAACCACTTATTTTTAGTTTTATTTCAGGATTACTATTCGAAAGTCTACAATAACTTGTTCTAATCCTTATATAATTTTAGAATGCTTTGTCTGTTTCCAGCTTTGTATTTTGCGAGACTTGTTGTTGTGTTTGGCGTTGTGTTTTTTTTTGATAAAAATAACAGAATGTCCCAGAAAAGAAAAATAGTAATTTGTATTTAGAGGGCTCCTATACAACTCATAACATCCTTAACTCATCGACAAGGCCAAAAACGCCCAACTCATCGAAACGGGTGAAATATCAATATTTTTATTCCATTCCTCCCTTATCCGTCAAAATCCACCGATATTGTCTCCAAATTAGTCAATATTCAACATATCTATAATTTAAAATTTTTTTTTGTGAAAATCCCGAAATCCCGCTGGATCCCACTAAATTTTAGAACGGGATTACTGGATTGATTTGTTTTTGATTGTTGTGTTTAGTATATTTTCAAATTAAAACTTTGTTTCCATTGAATTTGTTGGTTTTCTTTAACGTCTTTTGTGTTTTAATCTTTTAATTTTGATTTTTGAGAATAATTTTATATGAGAAAAAGTGATGAGTTTTGTTCCTGGTTTGAATATTTCTGATTCTAAGAAGGTCCCTGATCCTGGTACAATTGTTGACACAGTAGCTGAGATTGCTGAGGAAGCAGAAAAATGTAAGGTTTACTTTTTGTCTAAAGACGTTTAAGAAATAATTTTTAGCCAGTATAAGTTCAAGATTTGGCTTTCAATTTGATGATGATCCTGAGACCTTTATTGAGTTACGGATTCTACGTCGTTTGTGGATTGTCTTTATATTCACTTATTTGTGCAGCTACTCAGGATGAGTCTATGCCTTGTTCGAGTAATCGAATTGATTCTGATAAAGAAGTAATTTGTAAAATTTGTTTTTGTTTTTAATTGTTTTTTAGGACGAACAACCTTCGCAACAGAACGTGAATGGAGGGGGACGAGTGGATGAGGTTTATTTGTTGAATGATTAATTCTCGAAAATTTGTGAATGTTAAGGTTGTGTTTGAGAAAATTTTGGCAAAAAAGATAGTAGATGGCATCATTTATTACAAAATCAAATGGAAAGACTATGACAGGCCTGAAGATGACACGTGGGAAGAGGTTGATTTTGTGCCGTTAAATATTTTATTTATAATTAGATTGACAATTGTCATTGTGTTGACCTGATTAAAGAATACGAGGATTCTCACAAGAATGACGAAGTGCAAATTATCTCAACTAAACCTCGTGGAAGGAAGACTCGTGGAAGGAAGCGCAAATTTCGCAAAAGCATGGTATTTTTTATTTTGTAATACCCTTCGGTTTTAATTTTCTTCAGCTTAATCTAGCATCTAAATTTTAAGTTGAAAAAGAAAATTATTTCTTAAACGGAAAAGGTATGGTAGTGGACACAATTTTGGGATTTAGCAGATTACCTGACAATGGGAAGACGATGGCTTTGGTTTAATTAAATTATTTTTAATAATTTTTAAAGTTCTCTTAAGGTTTGTTATTTGGATGGACAAATCGAGTATATCCCTGTTGATTTATTGCATAAAAATGAAAGTGGAAAGGAGGTTTAACGAGACGAACTGAGATAATGAAAGATGGCCTTAAAATTGTTACAGATTTTATCGAAAATGACGTCAATGGAGCTAAGAAGATGTCGAAGGTATGTGAGAGATTTTAAAATTTTTCCGCATTGTTCTCCGGGTAAATTAAATGGGTCGCCCCCTTTTTGTAGGAATGTTTTGTAAATAATTTTGGCAATAGTGTATAGTATACCGTTGGAAAGGTTTCGATACAAGTCTCATACCATTTGATTTGTCTCGACATGCTGATGTGAGTCGAATGGTACCACTTTTCCGGACCAGCGGACCGAGATATAGATCCCCGAAAATCGAAAAACCATGGGGGGAGTAAGCACAATTTTGGGCACAATTTTAAAATGTTTTTGAACGCCTGACCTAAAGTGGGTTTTTGGGTCTTGCCAATGGGTACAATTATTTACCTGACATTTTTGTTCTAGTATATCTTTAATCCCTGTGTTATTTTGTAGGTTGTCACAACATACAAAGTCATTACAAAAAAAGTTCCTCGAGTCGTTGCAGAACGCAAAAAGTGGAAAAAGTTTGGTCAATCAAAGGAGGATGGTCCAGGTCCTCATATCAACACAACTTATGTGGCTGTTGAAGTTGAATTACAATTTCTTCATAATAAATTTGGGGAGACTGACGACCTTTTAATGGATGAAAAGGGACAAGCAACAAAAGGAATGCATTGTCGTTTATGCAAATCTGATGAACATTGGAGTACTCATTGTCCTTATAAGGTTTTTATTTTGAAAGAAAAAATTGAAAAAAAATTTTTAAGGAGCATTTCAAAGGAAATGAAGATTCTGATTTGGCTGATAAATCTGCTGCTACAAGAATTGGTGGTGGTCCAAGTCAATTACCTCGTGGTACTTATATACCGCCATCTCTGCGAAATGTTGGTAGTGGGGCTGCTATTGGAGGTTAGTAAATATTTTGGTGTTTATTGTTTACAATTTGGGTATTCTTTTAAGTCTTAATTTTGACAAGTATCTTTTCGCGGGATTTAAGTTATGATTACTTTTATTCTTTCGGGATAAATATTTGAAGTTAGAACCCGTGTAAGAACTATTCGTTTAGCAAAATATAATTTGACTAACAGCTCATTGGACTTATAAAGCCAAACTTTTCGTGAATTCTTAATCTTGGCCAATTTTAGAAAGAAATCAGCTCTTTTCCGTTATTTAAAAAATTAAGCTCTATATTCCTGAAAAAGATTTTTAGATTCTAATTTTTTAACCAAAAATTTAAATTTTAGTTTCTGAACGTCATTCGGATGAGACAACTGTTCGTATAACTAATTTGCCTGAGGATTCTGATACTTTGGAAGATGATTTGAGGGGAATGTTTTCTAAAGCTGGAAAGATATTGCGCTCATATGTTGCTCGAGATAAAATACATAACAAACCAAAAGGATTTGCTTTCATTACTTTCGCGCAGAGAAACGAGGCAGAAAATGCAATTCAAAACTTTAATGGAGCTAAATTTGAACATTTGATTCTTAAAGTGGAATGGACAAAGTTAGTTATTTTGTGAATAAAATTTGAAATAATTGTATTTGGTTTTAATTAAATGATATAAACAATATAGAGATACTCATAAAGGAAAAATACAAGAAGGGGGAAAAAAGTCCGCATCCCATTTGCGGGTAGGTAGGACATCAACACCATCTAGTGAGCTCTAGTGGGGTTTTCTAACTAACAAGGAACCAATATCGAACTGTCAGGAGTACGCATTCTATTTAAGGACATCTCAAGGCATTTTTAGGCCCAGGGGTGTATCTAAAACTATGTTAAGGAGACTTTGTTCAAATCCTAATAGGATTTGAATTTTTCGTGATACATTCAAAAATAATTTTTTTAATATTAAATTTTTTTAGACCATCAACGAATTAAATACAAAAAGAATAAAGGGAAGAGAAAATTATTTTGACAATAAATATTTTGTTTTGTAAAGAAATTTGTGAATTGAAATAAAATTATATGTTGTTAAATATTTTGTTTTCCCACATTTAAGTTCTTGATAAACGAGACTGAACACCTAAAAAATAATAAATTAAAAAAATTTATTTTCAACAACCTCAATAGGTTACTTCATTTTTCACTGGTTTCATTGGAATTTGATATCTTGGGAAAATCATCTTAAACACTTCCATATATTTCTTCACAAAGTGTGCGATTATTCCACCTTTTTCTTTTTCGTTTATGTTGTTCCATTGATGCTCCATATTCTTTGGAAGAATGAGATGTTTTACGCCCAAACGTATTGCCGCTTTTAATATGACTGGGAGTTCCGGAACTTCTATAATTTCGCCAGAAAAACTTATTTCACCGATCATAGCATAATCTTAAAAAATATTTTTTTAATTAATTAAGAGTTTAATTTTTATCTATTACCATTTTCAGGTGCCATTTTTAATAAACACGAGAGCATTGAGCTAACAATGGATATACCGGCACTTTCTCCACTCTTCCACATTCCAGCCTGAAAAAAAAGAAAAAAATTTTTAACGAAAAAAAAACTAACTGGAAGTATATTAATAGCCAATTGTTTTTCATAAACATCTAAACCGAGTTCTTCTTCCATAAATAAAGAAGTAAAAGTCCTTGCAACAAAACAACTGTCTTTCACGCGTTGATCACAATTTCCCAGTACGGTTATTGGATTTGGTCCATTCTTCAAATCAGCACATTCAACGTAACCAAATCTGCCTACTGAAAAATAATGAAAGTTTAAAATGGCTTATCTTAAAGGGTTTTACGGCCTATCTGAAACTCCTTTTTCTCCAAAAAATTTTCTGTTTTCAGTTAAAGGTTAGCAAGGACTGTACTTCAAAAATATATGTATTAAACTTACATCCATCCGATGACCCTAGCAAAATCGTGAAAGTGCCAATTGGAAGTGTCGTGAAGAACTTTTCATCGTAACCAATAATTGAATGAACGGAGTCTTGTTGAGTGACGGCTGTCGCTAATGTCCATTCTATATTCTTTACCATTGAGAGCATTCTCTGAAATTTTAAAAAGATTTAAGGGTAAATAGAAGTATTTTTTCTATTTTTACTAAATTTATCCTAAAAAATAGGACTTTTTAAAACGCTCTTTTCTAGAAAGAGCTATTAGAATTTAATTTTTTTCTGTCTACTGAAAAATAAGACAAGTTTAAAAGGTAAAAGAAGTTTAAAAAACTTCACTTACTGCGTTGGGAAAACTCCAAGTATTGTTAGTATAAGTGCTGATAGACTCGGGAAATTCGATGTTCGGCATTAATTTTTGAATTTTTTGATGTTCTTGGTTTGCATTATTGCTTTGATGTTTGTAATTGTTTTTCTTCATTAATTGTTTGCCTTCTTTCTTTGATTTAATTTTTAATTTTCCCAATTGCTTATTTTGTTTAGGTTGCTTCTGAAAACAAAAAATTCTTTTCAAATAATAAAGATAAATATTCTACCTTATTCACTTTGTATTTTTTCTTTCCACATGTCAACAACAAGACGGCACAACAAACAAAAGAGTAAATCATCAAGCAATAATAATAGCAGTAGTTACAGAATAAATAAAACATTTGTTAAAAATTTTTAGGGGTTTAGGGACTTTGATGGTAAGGTTTGTGTAAATTGGTATCTTTTATAGTACCGGGTGCGGCAAATTAATTTATTATCAATTTTCATTAATTTTGAAGAAAGTTATGAGGCCTTAATTTGCCGCACTCTGTAATAATTTTTTGGCTACCAGAGGTGGTTAAACAAGCTGTATTTGGGAGTGTTGGAAATAGGAAAAATCAAAACTTAATTGGGAAAGTGAAATAAATATGTACGGGTTTGAAATCCAACCGTACTTAAAAATGACTCATATTTAATCACTTATTTTTTGTTTTATTTCAGGATTACTATTCGAAAGTCTATTTGTTCTATTCCTTATATAATTTTAGAATGCTTTGTCTGTTTCCAGCTTTGTATTTTGCGAGACTTGTTGTTGTGTTTGGCGTTGTGTTTTTTTTAATAAAAATGACAGAATATCCCAGAAAAGAAAAATAGTAATTTGTATTTAGAGGGTTAAAGGCAGGGCTCGCATCGACAAAATGACAATCAAAAGTATCAAAATCTCGATTAAAAGGTATATAGCAGGGTTGCCGCCCGAAACCCAGCCTTTTTTTGTACCCGAAACCCGATACCCGAAAAGATTAATCTGAATTTAAGTTATTATTATAAATGTTTTGAGTGAGATACTCGAAAAGATTAATCTGAATTTAAGTTATTATGTATTATAAATGTTTTGAGTGAGATTTTCGCGTTGACAACCAATAGAGAACAAAAAATTTGGGTGGATTTATGGCGACCTCTTCGAATTTCGGATATTACAAGATATCGAATTGTTTTAAAGAATTAACAGACAAAAACTTAACTTTAAAGAATTAACAGACAAATATTTTTTTAAATTTTTATTTTTTATTTAATTTCTTTGATTAATTTTTTTCATTTAAATTTTTAATAGATTTTTGAAAATATTTTTTTATAAAAATAATTTTTTAGAATAAAAAATATTTAAGTTATTTTTTTCTTATTTTAAGAAATATATATTTTTATTTTGTTAGATTTAATATTTATTCGTTTAAATTTTTTGAATAAAATTTTTTTGAATATATTTTTTATATTTTAATATTTTTTTAAATTTTTATTTTTTATTTAATTTCTTTGATTAATTTTTTTCATTTAAATTTTTAATAGATTTTTGAAAATATTTTTTTATAAAAATAATTTTTTAGAATAAAAAATATTTAAGTTATTTTTTTCTTATTTTAAGAAATATATATTTTTATTTTGTTAGATTTAATATTTATTCGTTTAAATTTTTTGAATAAAATTTTTTTGAATATATTTTTTATATTTTAATATTTTTTTAAATTTTTATTTTTTATTTAATTTCTTTGATTAATTTTTTTCATTTAAATTTTTAATAGATTTTTGAAAATATTTTTTTATAAAAATAATTTTTTAGAATAAAAAATATTTAAGTTATTTTTTTCTTATTTTAAGGAATATATATTTTTATTTTGTTAGATTTAATATTTATTCGTTTAAATTTTTTGAATAAAATTTTTTTGAATATATTTTTTATATTTTAATATTTTTTTAAATTTTTATTTTTTATTTAATTTCTTTGATTAATTTTTTTCATTTAAATTTTTAATAGATTTTTGAAAATATTTTTTTATAAAAATAATTTTTAGAATAAAAAATATTTAAGTTATTTTTTTCTTATTTTAAGAAATATATATTTTTATTTTGTTAGATTTAATATTTATTCGTTTAAATTTTTTGAATAAAATTTTTTTGAATATATTTTTTATATTTTAATATTTTTTTAAATTTTTATTTTTTATTTAATTTCTTTGATTAATTTTTTTCATTTAAATTTTTAATAGATTTTTGAAAATATTTTTTTATAAAAATAATTTTTTAGAATAAAAAATATTTAAGTTATTTTTTTCTTATTTTAAGAAATATATATTTTTATTTTGTTAGATTTAATATTTATTCGTTTAAATTTTTTGAATAAAATTTTTTTGAATATATTTTTTATATTTTAATATTTTTTTAAATTTTTATTTTTTATTTAATTTCTTTGATTAATTTTTTTCATTTAAATTTTTAATAGATTTTTGAAAATATTTTTTTATAAAAATAATTTTTTAGAATAAAAAATATTTAAGTTATTTTTTTCTTATTTTAAGGAATATATATTTTTATTTTGTTAGATTTAATATTTATTCGTTTAAATTTTTTGAATAAAATTTTTTTGAATATATTTTTTATATTTTAATATTTTTTTAAATTTTTATTTTTTATTTAATTTCTTTGATTAATTTTTTTCATTTAAATTTTTAATAGATTTTTGAAAATATTTTTTTATAAAAATAATTTTTAGAATAAAAAATATTTAAGTTATTTTTTTCTTATTTTAAGAAATATATATTTTTATTTTGTTAGATTTAATATTTATTCGTTTAAATTTTTTGAATAAAATTTTTTTGAATATATTTTTTATATTTTAATATTTTTTTAAATTTTTATTTTTTATTTAATTTCTTTGATTAATTTTTTTCATTTAAATTTTTAATAGATTTTTGAAAATATTTCTTTATAAAAATAATTTTTTAGAATAAAAAATATTTAAGTTATTTCTTTCTTATTTTAAGAAATATATATTTTTATTTTGTTAGATTTAATATTTATTCGTTTAAATTTTTTGAATAAAATTTTTTGATATATTTTAAGATTTCATCAAATTCAGAGGCACAGAATGAAAATTCATCACATCACGCAGCCCAAGAGAAGGAGGCGCTCGGGAAAGACTGGTTGGAGTGATCAAAACAGCTCTCAAAAGATTAAAAAATAGCACTCACTCAAAAGATTAACTAAAAAACATCTGAGCTCAACTGAATTAACAACACTTTTCTGCTAGATTGAAGCAAGTGTCAATTCACGGCCGCTTACATTTATGTCTGACAAAGAACCCTTACACGCTTTTTGATCAATCCTTCATTTGTCCTTACTCTCAAGTAGAAGATAAGGTAATAGGGGATCAGAATACTATATAAGAGGGGTAGGGAATTTATGATATATGGCTATTCTGATATGGAAATGGGGGATCAGAATATTATCTAAGAGAGGTAGGGAATTTATGATATATGGCTATTCTGATATGGAAATAGGGGATCAGAATATTATCTAAGAGAGGTAGGGAATTTATGATATATGGCTATTCTGATATGGAAATAGGGGATCAGAATATTATCTAAGAGGGGTAGGGAATTTATGATATATGGCTATTCTGATATGGAAATAGGGGATCAGAATATTATCTAAGAGGGGTAGGGAATTTATGATATATGGCTATTCTGATATGGAAATAGGGGATCAGAATATTATCTAAGAGGGGTAGGGAATTTATGATATATGGCTATTCCGATATGGAAATAGGGGATCAGAATATTATCTAAGAGGGGTAGGGAATTTATGATATATGGCTATTCTGATATGGAAATAGGGGATCAGAATATTATCTAAGAGGGGTAGGGAATTATATATCTCTATTCATAATTATGAAACGTTTGGTTGTTAATTTTTTGTGATTAAAAAAGTAAATTTATTTTACTATCATACGTTAAAATAGAAAAATATAATACTCCACTTGTTTGATTTTCTATCTTTCTTCTTTCAAAGTTCTCCTTTAAGATTGGGTTGATCAATTAAATGGTACATGAAGCTAAAAATAAATATTTTTGATTTAAACTATTTTTTAATTCTTTATATATTAGTCAAAATCATATTCCCTATCTTATCTACGAGTCCAGGACATCCAAAGTATCTCCCAGAGTATCGCACTCAAAGTATCGAAAGCCATATGCCGTATTTCCTAAAATAGTACGGCCGGCCGTACTATTTTTCAACCCTCTTCCAAAGGGCCGTACTATTTCAGGGGGCCGTACTAATTTAGGGGGCCGCACTATATTTCAACCCTTTTTCAGAATTATCTGAATCTTTTTTTGTGTAACCGGGCACTTTTCTATCGGGCACTTTTAACCGGGCACTTTTCTATAACCGGGCACTTTTCTATCGTTTATAACTTTTTTTGTTCATATCATTTTTAGATAATTCCAAGTTTATTTTGTAGCCCATTTATTTCTCTATCATATAGTAAAATTAAGGATTTTTTGATTAAGGATTAAAAAAGTTATGTAATTTTAGGTACCTTATCACAATTCCCCCCCCCCCCCCCCCCAAAATTTTATTTTCTGTATCTCAGAAAGGAGAAGTCAAACAGGATGATCTCAACAGAATTTAATTAAGATCATTAGCGAACCGGACAAATCTGAAAGATGAAAATTCCAACTCCCATGGATGGCTCTGAGTAGATGTAAATCAGTTTTGGGGGGAATGCGATTTTCTCATTTTGGGAAGGTTACGCGCAATCGAATATCTCTTTAAGCGTTAACCTAAAAAATTTTTTGCTTTATAATTTCTATAGTTAAAAGACTGCTCTAGATGTTTAAAAAAATTTTTGTGCCGGTATCGGTATCATGTGCCGGTATCGGTATCACCGAGCCGGTATCGGTATCATTAACTCAAATCCCAATACCGATTTAGGCTAATCCCGATCCCGAGTTCTCTGAATACCGGTAGCGCTGAACCATAAAATCAGTACTTCCGCGCGAGCATTAGGTTATCTTATCTTAGCCAAGGTTCGGGTCATCTAAAAAATAGGCGCGGAGATGGAATGAATACTAGCATGTTTTGATTTGCCCTTAATTTTTTAGATAGAAGGTTGTCAATCCAACTTCCTAGTACTAAAAACTATTCGTTATTCACTTTGATTCCAACTAATCCTTTTAAATTACTTAAATCACTCCAAGTCCATCAATATCCTTCCAAATCCAACAAAATCTCCATTAATCCACCGATATCCTCTTAAGCACTCCAATTTCTATACCAATAGATATTAAGATTCAATAAATTAGTTAAATATTGCGAGGAATAATTATTATGATTAAAAAATCAAATTTTGTCTATTTTTTATATTTTTTAAATGGGGGCCGTACTATTTCAGGGGGCCATACTAATTTAGGGGGCCGTACTATTTTTCAACCCTCTTCCAAAGGGCCGTACTATTTTAGGGGGCCGTACTAATTTAGCAGGCCGTACTATTTTAGGAAATACGGTGATTAAGTTAATTTTTTGTGATTTTGTGTTAATATCGAGTTAGTGATCGACCGAAAGTATTCAGTTGATCGATTTTGTAATCAGAAGAGATTGATAAACGAGATTGATATCAGATGATCGATCAAGAATCCTTTTCTTGATTAATTGATCAAATGATCACTCTCTCTGTTCAGCTGATCAAATTGATCAAAACAAACTTCCCATTTGTTGTAACAACCTTCCTCTCGTTAGAATCGATACTTTGAATCATTCGATACCTTGGGGCGATACTCTTGAATACTTTGTGTGTCGATACTCTGGGTCAGGGTGTCCCTTTTGCCTTATTTACAGGGCATTTGCCCTATTTTCGACCTTTTCGCCCTATTTTTTCCCTATTTTTGCATTTGCCATATTTTTGCCCTATTTTTACTATCTTGAAAATTTTAAAAATTCTTTGGATTTTGTAAAAAAATGGTAAAAATGAAGGATTATCGACTTCATGGCCTTCCAAAATCCTCAAAATTTTTGCTTGCGGCACAAAAAATGGAAGAAATTTGGCTCTTGAGCTCCTAATTTCAAAAAATTTTCGCCTGCGGCGCTGAAAATTGGAAGAAATTCTTTGATTATGCTGCGAGGATTTTGGGGATTTGGTCGTGAATCGATATCAGGTTTGGATTTATTTGCTTTCTTAAGGGTAATTCAATTAACAGTATTCGGGATTAAAGGGGATATCCCGATAAAATCGATTAGTCACAAGTTGATATTTAATGACAAGGAAATTTTTAATTGAAAAGTGGCAAATTTTGATTAAAAAAATCTCTTGCGTTGCGTTTTTGCGTCGTTTTTGGCCTTGCGTTTCGTCTAACACCGTTGTATCTTGCAACTTCCCTGATCCTGATTAGTTTAATTTAGTTTAAAATAGTGAAAAATATGCATAATAAAGCTTTCATTTTAAAATTTTGAGTATTTTTAAGGGTTTAAAACAATGCCATATTTTTTGCCCTATTTTTGACCAATTTCGCCCTATTTTTGCCATATTTTTGAGTCGCTTCGCCCTATTTTGGTGTTTTGAAAAGGGACACCCTGCTCTGGGTTGATCCCTCATCTACATATTTAAGCTTTTTCATGAAAATTATTTCTTTACCATTCTCTTATTTTGTTAAAATCATGAAGGCAAAATAAATAACGAAAATAATCTGTAGGGACACCATTTGTTGTTTCACAATAAGTCATACAACCACTTTGAACGCCTAAAAATAATAAATTAAATTAAAAAACGTCTATTCATTTCTAAATACCTAATGCACTACAACACCCGCTATGGTCTGCCCGTGTAGAAGCACAATCCCACATTTGGCCAACAGTTGGACCTGTTTTATAAAAGGGGAGAAAAGTTAGAAGAAAAGTTTAAACATGAGATTTGTTTATAAAATTATCAGAATTGGCGGACAAATACATTTTATTTAAAAGTTGTTTTTGTGTTTTTGCTAATGTTGCAAACTTTAATGTTTTACATAAAAAGTAGGTACCCTTTGAAAAACATTTTGAAAACAACGAAAAACAATTTCCGAGAAATCGAAAAAAACAGCAACTAAACATGCTATACTTTACTATATGCCCACCGAGATTGAAACTCGACCGAATTTTTCACCCCAAAAATTAGCGTAGTCCCCTATGGTTTTTAAATCTTTAGAAAGAATATCTCTGCGAGTTTCCGTCTCCGGCAAAAGATTCTTACATATTTGAACTTAGCTCGGCGAGAGGAATCAGCATCAGCTATATACTTCGAATTTCGAGCTCGATGGGCATAACCCCACAAACCGACCCCACAAAACACTTGTTTGCTATTAAACCATTACGCAAACATTTATTTTAATTTTGTGTTTTTTTGTTTACCTCTTCCATTGCAAGTTGACAAAAAGAATAAAACATTATTAGAACTTAAAGCGCTAAAATCGCAAAATCTATTTTTACAATCAGCATCCGCCTCATTTAAAGTTGCACAACACATTTTTAATTTTTCATTGGGGGTGTGACCATTAGGTTGTTTTTGTGGTAAACTTTGAAATTGCGGTTCTGGAGGTTGTAAAAATAAAGGAAATAATTGGTGTTGTCCAAACACTTGTTTTATATTCAAAACAAATAAAAATAAAGAAATAACAGTGAAATATCTTTTAATGTTCATTTTGATGTTTATGTGCAACAGAAAATACCCACTATAAATGTTTAGATAAACACAAAACATTTGTTACAGAATTGGTTTTAAACTTTCCGGAAAACACAAAAACAGAGTATTTAAACAAAACATTCCGGAAACATTTAAAATCAGAATTTTAATAACAATGTTTTGAAGATCAGAAAAACATTCCGAAAACATACATTTTATTTAAGGAATATATATTTCAATATGTTTAGCAAGTTTTAACAGAATTAAAACTTGCTAAACTTAAAAATTTGCTTCCAAACATTGTTTTTTAAATTTTTAAATGCAATATTGTTGTGTGTGTTTTTCCTTTAAACAATGTTTGAAACAATGTTTGAAGAAATGTTTAGTAAATATTAATTTCAGCAATTAACCTAAACAAAATGAAAAAGGACTCGTTTTATTTTAACTAAAACACAAAATAAAAATAAAAGAAGATGAGCAGCTTTTGATTTTATTCGATTTTGTAAAACCTGTTATCTCCTTTATCTTTTATCATTTATTAGTTAATTTTTATATTTTGTAAAAGGAGAGAAAATTTTGAAGGAATTCCTTTGTCCAAAATTTTACAAAGAAAATTCAAATTAAATTTATTTAGTTAAAATTTTAATGTTTCTTTGTTTTCAAATTTTTTAGTTGTTAAAATTGAAAGGGAAAAATAAAGAAAACACAAAATTGGCAGCATTAAAACTTTAATTTTCAAAACAAGTTCAGACAATGAATAGTGTTTTTATAAAAACACAAACATACAAAACAAAAACATTTTTTGTTGAAACAATGTTTGGAAGGAATGTTCGAAAACAAGTTTACAAACAAGTTTTAAAAACTGTTTAAAAACAAACTTAAAAACAATGTTTGGAAATGTTTAAAAATTAAAACATATTAAAACATTGTTTTTAAGATTGTTTTTGGTTTTTAAAACTTGTTTATTAATAAACTTGTTTCCAAACATTGTTTTTAAAATTTTAAATACAACATTGTTGTGCTTAAAAACAACAAAGTTTTTGTTTTCAATGAATTTCCAGATATTCTTTGAAACAATCACGAATTTCATTAAATGATTCAACACAAAATCTTTAAAATTAAAAAAAAATTATTTTTTAATTTTTAAAAATAAATACAGATAATCCAAATAATTTGTAGGTACTCCATCATGCGCTAAATAATTTAATTTAAAGAATTTTCGTAATAAAAAGATAATTTATTTTTATTTATTTTATAATTTATTTTTCTTAATAAAATTTTAAAAAATTTTATTATTCAAAATGTTTATTTCATGCTTTATTTTATTTATTTATATTATTCACGTTTTATTTTATTAATAAGAAAATATCTAACCATGAAAAGGTTCGAACCCGAGACCCCTTTTTAATTGGTTTAGTTGGTCTAATTGGTTTAGGGTTTTTCTCTTACAGTTATCAGAATAAAAAATAAGCTTTTTTTAAACTTGTTTATTCTGATATATTTTTATTCTGATTTGTAAAACTTGGGCCGGTATTGTGGCGGTATACAGGGGGGTGGTGGTGGTGGCAAACATCCAACTGAACATAATCCGAACACAAAATTTTCTTACGACAGTAAATTTTCAGATAATAAAAAATCACCTGCACAATATTCCAAACATTTTCCGCTTACTCCTTTTTCCTTTAAAATTTATTTAATAGAAGAAAGGCAAAATCAGAATTTTTTTTTAAATCAGAATTAGAAAAACCTCCCAGAAAAATCAGAATATTTTATACAAACAAAACTTTCCGGAAAACACAAATATATTCTGATTTTTCTGAAAATATATAAACTTTATTTAAATAAATTCTGAAAATATTCTGATTTTTTAAATATTTATTTTAATATTCTGATATTCTAATAGGAAAAATACAAACTTTACAACATTCTGTGTGGTCAATACGAGAACTCGCACAGTCCCACATATGCCCTACCTTTGAAATTTATTTTTTATAAAATTTAAAAAAATATATACTAAATTTATTTTTTACTTAAAAATTAAAATTAATTTTTAAAAATAAATTAATTAAAAATAATTTTTTTTTCTCTTAAATATTTCTACCGTCTCTCCCCTGTCAGTGCACGTTGACAGATAATTTAATACCTAAAAATCATTTTTTTTTCAAAATTTTTTTTAAATTATAAACATTAGCTTGAGATATTGCTTCAAAATCACAAAATCGTCTAACACATTCTTTATCATCATTTACCAATTTTTGACAACATTTTTTTAATTTTAAATTTGGGTCAGATTGAGAGAATGGGGGAAAAATTAAAAGAAAAATAAAAATATAAAATAAATTTAATAACATTCAAGTATTTTAATGGAAAAAAGGCCTAAAGATGAATTAAAAAAAAATTTTTTTAATTAAAAAATCCAAAGAAATATGTAAGTTTTACGATAAACGTTGGGGCTGTATGTGTGAGTCAGAGGCGGGTCGGAAGTCCGATTTCCGATCTTTGAGCCATTTCCGATTTCCGGCACCTTCTTCAGTTCCTACCCACCCCTGGTGAGAGTTTAAAAAAGAAAATTAATTAATGAGCACACTTAAACTATAAATTTTGCATTATATCCAAAATTATTCTTTAAAAAATAAAAATTTATTAAGAAAAAAATTATAAGCACGTTTGCTTATAATTTGACAGAATTTTTGATGTAATGTCGATTTTTTAAAAATTAATTGACTAAAATTTTAAAATTTTTGAACAGATTTTCTGACACAAAATATGACAGAAAATAAATGGAAAATTGGTTTTTAAGAGCTTTCTGAAGCAAAAAATGCTTACTAACCGCTCAATGACTGACCGATGGTTTTCTAAAATTTTTTGTTTTTTTTAACTTGGCTATGAGGAAAACTTAACCGGGTTTACAATAATTTAGAGTTAGCCAATTAAAGTTTAAAAATCCTAAAATTTAACCTAGACACAATAATATTTATTAAATAAAATATTAAAGATTACAAATAAATAAAATGATTTTTGATAATAAAATCCAAATAAATGTGACGCTTTCTTATGAAATTAGGGCATTTGGGTAAAAAAGAGAGATTGATTAATCCAAAGACAATCGAAAATGTTTTTGAAGGACATTTTAAAAAAAACTTAAAAAAAACAAAATATTTTTTTGTCTGAAAGAAGGATAAAAATATTTGGAATAAAATATTTCCAAAAAATCATTGAAAATTTAAATGATTGGAGAAGTTTTTGAGATAATTTTTTTTGTAAATTTTGAAGGTAAATTTTAGAAACTTTTAATGTTTTTTAAAATATCTTTTATGCTGTATTTAATAAATTTAATGATTATCTAAGCCGTCTTTAGCTTATATGTTGTTTTTTTATCCAAAAACGAAATTTCTGAAAATTTATATGAAGGCAAAATAGAAACAAAAATGACAGCGTAAAATTGTAAAAGCAGGGCCGTACTGAGAACGTGGTTAGCATAAATTCCGAAAACTTGGTTCAAAAAATAATAAAATTACAAAATTTTAAATTAATACATATTTTCTAGGGTGTTTTCAACCAAATAAAAAAATTTCAGAATTTTTGGGCAATTATGTATTTCTTTAGTTATAAGCAATTTTTTTAAAATTTAAAATTTATCAACACATTTTTTTGTCACAAAATACTTTTAAATAGGTCGTGGGCTTACTTAAAAGATACATATTACTTTAAGGAACCGAGCCAATTCCTTTAGCCAATTTTAATTCATCGGAAAAGTAGCAATATTTCTGTCAAGCGATTTCGTCATTTTAGGGGTATATGTAGTCATTTTTACAAATTTTTAGAATAAACAAAAATATTTTTGTTTTTGAAAGGTCATTCTCGCCATTTGGAAAAAAATAAATTTGTATTATTTCCTTTTTTCTTATTATCAAAATATTTAATAGGTGTGGCCAAGTTTATTTAAAAAATGTAAATAGGTATTTATTTAGAAATTTCTACAAAGGGAAACCATAAAAATGCAGTCAGTATCAGATGATCATCCTTACTTTTGGGTTTTCTTTTTTCTCTTCTCAATAAAACTCTCCGCCTTTTTTTCAGTTTCTTTTTTTTCAATAACCCCGCACCCCGCCTTTTTCAAACTTTTCATTTTTTTTTGTTGGCACTATAAAATCTTGGTTCGTGGTCCATATAAAAAATCCCATTTTTAAAAAATAAGGACATTAAGAGGTTCGATTGATATAAAAGTTATTCGAAAAAAATTGAGAAATAAAAAGTGGCGGCCCAGAAAGACTATAAAAAGCTGAAAGACAACCGTCGATTTATTTATTTAATTTTGGCATAAAATTTAATTATTTGGCGTTCTATTTAATTTTTGCTTTTTAATCCTTTTTGATTTTCTTTCGTTTTCTTTCATTCATTTACCTAAATTGCTAGAAAATTTTTGTAATTTTTGAGGTCCGTGTTTGTTTTTATTTGCCGTATATCAACTCGTATTGATTGTTCTATTTATTACTTAAACCTTTTCAAATTTAAATAAATTAAGGATTGAGTCTCCATTCACATTTTCCTTATTAATTTCATATCCCACTGTTATTTAAAATTTTTTTTTAATTTTTAGAAGACTCTTTTACTTAACTTTACTTAAAAATGGACAATTTTCAATTTATACTTTTACTGACCTGTTTTGGACTTTCTCTTTGCAATCATACTGACTCATTTTGCTCCTCTCCTGACTTTGACTTTGATTGTGGGGTTGGCGAACTTCGTAGTCGTTGCATCTCTTCCGTCTGGACTTGTGATTACATTTTTGACTGTTCTACTGGAGCGGTTTGTTTATTTTTTAATTTTTAGATGTTTGTTGGGGGGGGGGGGGTTAAATACTAAGGGGAAGCTTGCCAAGTTAATCGATCGACTTCTTGGTTTCACCATTTCCTTCTCTACTTGAATAGGTATTAGAAATGGTATGTATGCACTAGAATGTATACACAGCTTTATTTGGGTCCGATTCCGGATATCTTCAGATTTTTGGGTAATCTTTTAGTTTACCGGTCCCTAGAAAATTTAGCCGAATTCGACTTGGTCGAACTCGGGTCGGGGTTCGAAATAAACAAATTGTAACCTTATATTCGAAATTTTACCTACTGGCAATCCTCAAAAATATCGAAAAATGCCACATTGTTTTCTTTAGACCAGTAAACTTAAGATTAATACCTAGACTTATAGGGTGCTTAAAAATTTAGTTTTTTCACGTTTGATACAATAATTGTACATATACATATTTCAATTTATAGGATGAGGGCCTTCTTTGCAAATATTTACATAAATGCCCACCCGGCTATTTCATGTGCCGCAATGGTGATTGTATTCTGGCATCCAAACGATGTGACTCCATCAATGATTGCATTGACCGGTCTGATGAGAAGGCTTGTTTTGACACTACAACGGATGTTCTGGAGGAGGACAATGAAGTTATTCTTGACCAACGTGCGGAGGCTTTTAATGATCAAAACGATGGCACCACCTCAACCTTTTTATTCTTGGCTCTCTTTCTGCTTGTTGTCTTGGTGGTTCTTCTCATTGTTTGGGTTACTCGACGCTATCCGGATACCAAATCGTTTGTTTTATTTTTAATTTTTTTTTCTAATTAAAATTGTTTTTTAGTCAACTTGACCTTGCCTTAAAAAATTTCAATCAGCGAGTTCGTGGCACTTCCAGCGAGGCGCATGTGAACATTCTCGTACCGGCAGAGGACAATTACTTTGACAACCCGGTATTTTTTTTAATAAAATTGTAAAGGATTTAATTTGGGAACATCCTAATTGAGGATAAACCAAACTAAAAAATCCATTCTAGTAGGGCCTACGTTTAGAGACTATGGGTGTTATTCCTTTCTCCGAATGATGGTCTAAAGTCCTTAGTGTTTGACTTTTAGTGGCGGTTAAGATCTATGATATTTAAATCTCTAATAAGTTTGGGCATCATCTTAATGAAGAAAAATTATTTCCCGCCTTTATATATTTTCTAACTTATTTTTAAAATTCATAGCTCTCTACGTTGCAACCTCCACTCACTCTCAATGTCTCCGAAGGTCCCAGCGGACAATAAGAATTTTTGGAAAATTTTTTATTTTATACCTAAACAACAGGGGTGTGCGAGTTTCGCCTTTCGTCTTTTCGCCTCTTTTGGACTTTTGCCTTTCGCTTTTTAAAATCATTTTCGTCTTTCGCTTTTTAAAATCACTTTCGGCACACCTCTGCTAAATAAATACATGTAGACATTTAATTCACTTAAAATTAATTTTTGTAGGCTAATAAAATTTGCATATTTTGTCTTTTTAACTGCAAAATAGTTTTGTTCTAATTGGTCAATCAACATATTTTTGTTTTTTTCGACATTAAGGGTCAAAAGTCTGGCATTGAAATGATTAGGCGAGATCAGATTAGGCGAGAATGACCAAAATTATAAATGAAAAAGATTTGTTTTCTTTAGCTTAAGTCACGCCGTTCGTTTTTTAAATTACCCGTTTTTCGAATTAGGGAAGGCTTTTCCTACAAGTATTTTTCCTCCATTTTCTCGCTTTTTACAGCTAATTTTGTTTTTTGGTTACCATGACTATATTATCTTCAAAGAATTTTTCCTCCATTTTTCTCGCATTTCTACTTGGAAAATTCTCTGTTTAATTTTTATTGACAAAAAATGAATGGTTATTTATCATTTTTAAATTAATAAAAAAATTCTTTTAAATTTAAGTAAATACAAGCAGTAAATGGACAAGAGCTTTATGGGAACCTGCAGCAAATATACAAACAAGTAAAGATTTTGTAGTTTTGAGTGACCTGCAAGGAAGGGGCGATTATCAACTAATTCTTGTAGATGAGTCTTCTCTACCGTTCAAATTAAAATTGTTTAAAGGGTTGAAACCAATTGTTGAATCTGCCCTAGCTGAATGCCCAACAGGAATTGTTGGATTTGCTTGTGATTCGGTTTTTTTTATTTTTTTTTAATAAGAGGGTGGTTAATAAATTATTGTTGTGGTAATTGTTACCCGTTTTTTGAATTAGGGGTTTTTTCTACAAGCATTTTTGTTTAGTTTTGTTCAAGACATTTCTTTGGTCTGCCATGACTTTTAAATTTTCCTCGAGGGTAAGACTTCTATTTAATGTAGACAACTAAATTAGAATTAAGATTCTTCAAATCTCAATATCTAAGAGGTTTTCTAAGAGGTCATCTCTTTTTTAACTTAAGGAAAAAAGTCTTTTTGGACAATTAACCCTTTTCGACCCTATCCTAAAAAGAGGGCGCCTTGATTTTTTTCATCATTTTTTCCAACCTTAATATATAAATAATGGTCAGTCTTTTCTTCCTCATTCAATTCCACTCTTTTTACCTTTGGCATATTCAATTGAGAGGACAGAAAAGCACACTCACGGACAGACAAAACACGGACGGACAAAACACAGACGAAGACGAACATGGACAGACAAAGCACGGACGAACACGGACGAGCACGGACAGACAAAACAAGTTTGTGTGTGTCCGTCCGTGATTTGTCTGTAGTGTATGTGCTTTTCTGTCCTCTCATTTGAATATGCCAAAGGTAAAAAGAGTGGAATTGAATGAGGAAGAAAAGACTGACCATTATTTATATATTAAGGTTGGAAAAAATGATGAAAAAAATCAAGGCGCGCCCTCTTTTTAGGATAGGGCCCCCTTTTCTATTAAATTAAATTTCAGGGCAATTCAGATTCAACATGTTTAGCTGTTGCTTGTGGTTCTAGCCTTCTCATCTACAGAAATATGAAACCATATTATCGTTATAATGTACCTCAAAGGGATATTTTGGCATCTGAAATGGAATTGTGGGGGCTTTTAATTAAATCTCAAATTCAGAAAGGACAGTTATTGGAAGGATTAAAGGTTGGTAAAATTAAATATTTTTGAGGGAGCTTCAGTCAAGTTTCAAATGTCACATGGGCTATTTTCTCTGAAAATGAACAGTCGACATCAGAACGTCCAGTAATTGACACAGTTCCGTTATAAATTTAAATTAAACCTTTTTGAGATCCTCATTTAAAAATGTACCATAATCGTTTAAACAGAACCACAGACATAAAATAAAAGATTTTTCTGACATGAGAAGATTGAATGGAATTTTGATACATTTTTTATTAGGGTTGCCGTTTTCGAGTCGGGCCGACGGTCGAGGCATTTTTTCGGGCTTGTTTCTTTCGGGCCGGTACGAGTCTTTTTCGGGCCAAATATCTTAGGCCCGACTCGATACTTCGGTCCGAGTCGGGCCATTTTGGCAATCCTATTTAATATCTCCGACCCTCTCAATTTCTACCCTTATTTGAACTCTCCAAATAATTTTTAAAAAATAATTATTTTTAAGCAACTTCAACAGCAACATTCAATTTCCGAATTAAGCCATCAAAGTCAACGTTTATTAACTTTTGAGGAAGACAATTCAGTTGAAAATATTCAAGAAATTCAAAATTTATTTATTGATTTTGTTTTGAAGAATAACAGTAAAGAAATTAAAGAAAATGATAATTATGGAAATGTTGAAAATTTGGTTAATCCCACACCCCCACCTTTAACTAATATATTAATTACTTGTATTTGTACAATTCCAAGAAATCAGTCAGTTAATTCTGCTGTGGTTTGATTTTTTAATTTTTTTTTCTAAATTGGTGGGGTAATTGTGTTGGTGTTCTCCTTTCCTTTTTAAATTTATTCTTGGGTTCCCTTTAGAATTTATTTTTGGGTTATCTTTGGGTTCCCTTTAGATTCAGACAATGAGGCATATTTTTTTGACTTGATGCCCTACGTTAACCGTGTCAGGGATATTTGTTGATTTATCTGTACAAGGGATGTCACAGGTTGAGAAAAAACTCGGGTCGAGAAAAAGGCCGGGTATCGGATTTCGAAACCCGTGACATCTCTGGTTTGTACCTATTGTCCTGTTATACATCAATTTAAAAAATTTGAATAGCACTTAAAACGGACCAAATAAGGTACCATTAACCAACGAATAGTCCCAGTTCTAGTTCCTATAGGCCTTGAACACAAATAATTTTACGAACTTCAAAAGTAACAAGCCTCCTAAAACCCTAAACAATAAAAAATTGAGGATAGACAATTATTTTTTTAATTTTTTAAAAAGGATGTTTTAATTTTGGGAACAGAAATGGGTTCAATTTATTTTGTCGATTCACAAGCTTATACTGTTATTAGAAAGGATAATATTGATGCTGTTCCAGTTAAGATTTTGCCAACAGGTTTTTTTAGAAAATAGTTTTTGAAATTTTTTTTGGGAATTCTTTACAATAATTTTGGTACTTTTCGGTTCTGCCACACCCCTCCCATATATTCGCAGGTTATATTTTATGTTTTTCCTTCATGTGTAAGTTTCTCTCCTTTATTCATTTCATTCAATTTTCCCCGTGACATGTTCGAGGAGCGACGTTAATAAAGAAAAGATTATTTTTACTCAGTTTTCCCTTCAATCATTTTCTCCTAGAAAGGAGTAATTCTGACCATTCTGTACGTATGAAGGAAAAATATAAAATATATCCTGCGAATATATGGGAGGGGTGTGGCAGAACCGAAAAGTACCATAATTTTTTTTGTAAATTTTGTTGTTTATTTTGTGGTTGTTATATGCTGCGCATCTAAAATTATATTTTGTTTCCACAGGGATTTTAACTTTCGTGGATTTTGTTGAAGTCAAATTTTAACGTGACCTTGTGTCTTACAATGGACACCCCAGGCACTTTCATTTGTTAGTGGTATCGTTTGCGGTTTGACTAGTTTTCGATCAAGGTTCGAATCCTCCGGTGCTTAATGTTTTTTTCTTTTTGTTTCATGATTAAAAAAATTTTTTTTTGCAGGTCATTATGATTTAGAATATCGAATTGTTATTTGTACAAGAGAAAATGATGTTTTTGTTTTACGTAAAAACAATAAAGGAGATTGTCATATAAATTCTTTTTATATTCGAGAACATCCTTTCAATGTTATTTTTTGTTCTAGTCAGGTAAAGAAATTTTTTTAGAAAATTTGTAGAAAATGTTTTTGTAACTTTTTAAAAAATATGGGAATGAATTTTAATATATTGAGATTTATACTGTAATAAAGCTTTAGAAATAAAGTCCGCAAAAATTGCCGCAAATTTTTGACTAAATTCAGACGTAATTGTATGATACCCCAGAATTAAGTGCACGTCTACTATATTTAACATACTTTCTTTTAAAATTCGGGTTGGCTGGAGGAATTTACTTTATTTGCCCTATATGTAACTCCCGACTCTAGCGGTCAACTTTGAACGGCCATAACTCGGCCCAAATTCATTTTGCAAGAAAACCCGTATCACTTCATAATAAGAAGTCGATGGTGCTCTATCGAATGGTACCAAAAGATATATCAAATACGCACTTACAGTAAACGATGGTTCCTGTGAACCTTCGATTTCTTTTCCTTTTTGGGAGGTTTAGCTTCTTGCTACACCTGCATTGTAAGAGAAGACTTTTTCAATCCCAAGGGTGTATCCAAAAATGAGATTTTTTTGTTTTCAACAGGAAAAAAAATTAAAAAATTTTTTAAATTAAAATTTCAAGTTTGTCTTTGCCACTCGTCGTCGCCGACTTATTTTTTACAGTCAAAAATTTCGTCGTCAAAATTCTATGCAATTTGATGAAGATATTGTTGATTTGGAACATTTTTATTATGAACCTAAACAGTTTTTTTAGAAAATTTTTAAAAAATAAAATTTTTATTTTGAAAGATATGAAGGAGTTCTTGTTGCTTTGGGGAATGAAATTAATTTGTATATCGACCAATTAAGAGTAGATACAATTAGAATGGATAGACCTATAGAATGGATTAAATTTGGAAGAATGGGAAGGGAGGAAGGCGTTTTGGTTATTTCTACTGAAGGTAATAAATTTGTTAATTTTGATAAGAAAATCAAATTTTAAACGATATGTATTTCTGGGCCGAACGTAGATGTTTGATGAAAAGCATTTGCCCCCTTGAGGCTTGACCTTTTGAAAAATTTTCCCTGCACCGTTTGAATGTGTGTGAATGTTAGGAGCCTTCGGCACGCAACACTAGTAACCAGAGGTCGATCGGAATTCCGATTTTCGGCACCTTCGGCATTTTCGAGCGATCTCTGCTTGTAACAAAAATTCTCAAAATTTTGGGACCTATTAGAAAAGCTCTAAAAAATATATGTATAACCAAAGGTTTACAGACTTTGAACATATACAAAAAATTCTATAACTATTTTTATAAAGCTTACATTTTTTATCCCAATACTTACAAAAAACACTTGAAGAAAGGCAAACAAGACGATACTAAATTATTGATAGATAAATACAAATATCTATTTAAGATAATCAACAAAATTAAGAGAGCATATTAACATTTTGGGGCATTAATAAACAAAAATTTATTTATTTCCTAAAGATCTAGCCACGGAAATTCTTCTGACGCAATTTTATCCCCTAATGCAGTAAACGCAACAAGACACGTGTAGATGCAGAAGACCAATGAAAGCAACGTCATAATAGTAGCTATCCCAACCCACGTCGGATCACGCTTAACCTTCCGTCCCTTTTCTGAAATTTGGAAAAATATACAAAAATTTTAGGAATTTTTTTGTGGAATAGGGCCGTCAATTTCACTAACCGAACCGATAAACCACATCGAAAATTTTCAATTTTTTCTGTTCTGTTTGAAACCGACAACCCTTTCCTGGAATATCCCAACTTACGTTCTTCAGGTTCTTCAGGCTCTTTATTAGGCTTTCTTTCTGACTTCTTTTTAGGAACATCTTTTTTCTTCGATTTCTTTTCCTTTTTGGGAGGTTTAGCTTCTTGCTCTTCCTCCTCTTCTTCTTCATCTTCCATTTCATCCTCTGTTGTATCATAACTACGGGAGGCATCTGGCGACTTCTTTTTCTTTCCTAAAAATTAAAAAGAGGATTGGAAGCGTTTTTGACAAAAAACCTTTTTTTGATGTCTTCTTGCTTTTCTCGTGAGCAGTTTTCGTTGGTTTCTTCTCTGCAAAAAAAAAACATTTTAAAATTTTAGAAAAATTCCCAACTTACTTTGTTTGGCCTTTTCGATCAGAGAAGAAGAGAGTTCGCCAATTGGTTCATATCCCTCCTTTTGCGTCTTCTCTGAACGGAGTCGAGAAGGTTCACTTTCTGTTGAAAGTTTATTTTCCGATGTTTGTTGTGGACGGTTTACAGCTGCTGAAGGTTCATCATATAGCGGCGGCTCAGGTTCTCCCTCAATTTCCCTTTTTCCTGAAAATGATCCTGACATCGTTTTTACACTGCCTTTTGCTGAAGTTCTGAGAACCCACTAACGTTTGGATGTGCCTGAAGTATGTTGTTATGGTTTTGATAACGAGAATATATGTGCCTTTTATACTATTCCTATGTTTACCCCCTGAATTAATTTTGTATATGTTAAATTGTGGTGGATGATTTCGACCTTTTATTTCAATGAAAATTCAAAAGTTCCTAATCAGGATTTTCAATTAAGTTTCTGACATCTAGATTTCCAACGATCGACAAATCTAGTAACCGCACTTGTTGGAAAGAGGCGAGAGAATGATTTCATACTCTTGAGTTTAATTGACATGTTGTCAACACCTCACGATATAGTGGAGGGGACATAAGAGGGGGTGCGCTCTTTGAGCTGATGGGCTGCCCCTAGGTTGCTCGATCTTTCAAAAAAGAGAAAATCAGAACAGAGCTTTATCGAAACGAAATCGAAAGGAAAACCTCAAAAATCTAAATTTCGAAACAGCGTTGGCCATAATTGCTTTCATTTATTTTACCCTAAAATTTGCCTAATTCAAATTTTTTAAATATTTTTTAGGTGGCGGCCTCTGTGTAAAAATATTTCGTCGTGTAGCCACATTTGATGAAGGAACTAGAATTGCTACAAGTGGAATACAACAAAGAAAATCAGCAAATATTAGCTCTATTGAATTACCTAAAAGGTCTCGAACATTTGTTGATCAAAGTTTAAGGGAAAGGGAAAATCCAAAATTATTACATCAGGCAAGAGAAAGAAAATTTTGTTTTTAATTTTCTCTGACAGATTTATCAACGAAATTGGTTTATGGTTAAATGGCATTCTGCTAAAACTTTTGCAGTGTTGGAAGGCGGGGGTAGGGCTGGGGAATTGTCAGCAGCAACTGGAGGGTCTGAGCCTTTACAAGTTCAATATGAATTATTGGGGTTTGGGCCTAATTTTCGACTTCAAATAAAAATTTTTTGTAGCGGGTAGGTTCTTTTGATATTAGAATTAGAGGTCGGACTGGGATGGTTGTATGTACAGGAATCGAGATTGATATCTCGATAAATATGGATATCTTTAATACAGTTAGTTTCCGGGATCGGGATTTCGACAAAAAATCGGTATAGAGATTTTGGAATAATGATCCCGATCGACTGCGGGATTAGCCGAACTGAATTTGTCTGGAAAAAACCTTAACAACTTCAGCAATAACAGCAACTAACGCACAAGTATTATCAGAAACAATTTTAATTACACTTCCACCACCAATATTAATAATTTCAAAATGTGAAGTGATCGGAATTTGTCTTCCGGTCTCTGGATCAGCAAAATCAGGATCGTGATTCAAAAAAACCGGGATAATCCCGCCCGATCCCGGCCAACTCTAATCTATAACTGAGATTTTTGTTTTAAATCTTTTCTCGGTCCAGTCATTAGTTACATACACTAACTATAATTAATATTTTGATTAATTTTAAAGGGAAATAGAAAATGTTGAAAGATGGCTAATATTTATATTTAATGAACAAGAATATTCTTTTAGTCATCGGTTTGATTTTTAAAAAATTTTCCAAAAGTCTCTTTTCTTTTAAGAATGATTTTTATTCCTCGATTATTTCCAAATAAACAATTAAAATTTTATTCTGATATTTATTGTCTTCATCCAGACAAGCAACATTTAATTGGGGAAGAAGAAACAGAAATAAGAATCATTTTGATGAGGAAGGACAGAACAAAACCTGTTTGGTCTGCTAACTTTCAAAGGCTCCCGGAGATTTGGGGAGTGGGCATTTGGGGAGTGGACAATTGGGGAGTGGAAATTTGGGGAGTGAGCGGACATTTGGAGAGTGGACAATTGGGGAGTAGACATTTGGGGAGTGTGGATTAAAAAAATAATTTAAAAATAGATTTTTTGGACAATAAAAATAATTTATACACTAGTGAAGGTGTTTTTGTGGAGTTTAAAAGGGTAAATTCAATTCCCCCTCCTTTTTCCTTCTTCAACGTATTAAAAAATGGTCAGTCAATTTTAGGTTATAGAACTGAAAAAATCGAAAAATTGAAAATTTTGAGAAAAAGGAAGAAATTTTGTCCATTGGCCTTCTAAAATTCTAAAAACTTTCACCTACGGCGCTAAAACGTGAATTTTTCATATGCCTATGGTAGAGTTGGAAAAAACGATACTGGTATCGGTCAACCCGAGACCGAGATTGACCGATACTCAAGAACCCGATACTGAGACCGATACCATCATTTTGAGCCGAGACCGATACCGAGAAACGATACTGACCGAGACGAGTGTATAAATTATTTTTATTGTCCAAAAAATCTATTTTTAAATTATTTTTTTAATCCATACTCCCCAAATGTCCGCTCACTCCCCAAATTTCCACTCCCCAATTGTCCACTCCCCAAATGTCCACTCCCCAAATTTCCGGACACGCTTTCAAATGCCTGCAAGTGAATTGTTAATTGAATAGAGAATATTTTTAAAAGAAAAGAAAAAGTTTAAAAAATATATAGAGTTAATTTAACATAGGGATTGCTAAGTTGAAAAGCGGCTCGAAAGGTAAACAGTAGTATTGCGGGAGCGGTATCCCGCAAAATCTCACACGAGATCCCGTCCCGCGCCGGTCACTACTAAGCACTCTCTTTTCATAAAATCCGTCTCGTAAAAGACTCTAGGTCCGCCCCTAGTAAATTTAAACTCGAAAATTTGCCATTTTACTGTTCCAAACTAAAAAACGGCAATCCCAAATTTTGTTTATTTTCCGCTTCCAAATTAAAATGTTTAAATAAAAAATGTTTAAATACACAATTTTTTTACTTTTTTTTATTTAAATAAAAATACATATAAAATTGTGTTTATAATAATGCGCTTAATAAAATGATTAATATTAGTTTGCTTCAGATCAGAGGTCAATCGGAAATGATGAAGGTGCCGGAAATCGGAAATGGCTCAAAAGTCGGAAATCAGCCTAAATTTTCGGAAATCGGAATTTCGATCGACCTCTGCTTCAAATATACTTTTAGCTAAATAATTCACATAGCCATTATAATTAGTATATAACAATAATCAAAAACATCTTAATTTTGCTTCATTTTCTCATTATTTCCAACTTTTTTAATCACAGAATTTTTTCTACTACCATTTTTATTTAAAACTTGCTCCTTTTCTTCAATGTTTTCCTCCTCTTCCTCTCTTTCATTTTGTTGTTGTTTTAATTGAAATAATAATTGTTGTTTTTGTTGTTGTTGTTGTATTTGGGCAAACAACATTGTTGAAGCTGCTGCCATTTCTTCTCTACCAAATGGCAAAAATTGTTGTTGTTGGCAATTTGTCTGTTGGTTAAATGTCGTTCCGTTAGTGTTGTTTTGTTGTTGTTGTTGTTGTTGTTGTTGTGTTTCTTCTGTTTTTGTTTTGTTTGTTGTTTTTGTTTGTTTTTGATGTTCTAAAAGTTTGGCTATTAAATGTTGTTGTTGTTGGGATGTTTGGATTGTTTGTTGTTGGTGTGGTTGTTCGTTGTTGTTTGATTGACCTGGGGGTGCTCCCATCCACATAGCAGCAGCGGCAGCTTGAAATTGGGCCTGGACAGCAGCTAGGCGTTGAGCGGCTAATGTTGTTGCCAACTCTAAAAGTTGTTCTGAAAAGTTTTTTTGTCCCATAATTATTTTATCTTCATCTTTTTATTTTATCTTGACCGTATTGCAAATAAAAATAAACGTTAGTAAAGGAAAGTTAACCCAACAACACAAATGGTTTTACTTAAAAAGGAATTTATTTGGTTGGTATGATGTGCAAAATCGTGCTTACAGGATCCCGCATGGAATTTTTTTTCCAAAACCCTTATTTCATAAGAAACTGGGGAAGTTCCTATCCACATCCTCCCGCCCTAGCCGTTGGCAAAAGTTTAAATTGAAACATTTACTACTTATACGACATGTCTCGGTGAGTTGAGTGGAACGATCCCCTTGCGAAAATGCCTAGGGATATAGCTATTGGTCCTTAACTATCGAAAAATCGTAAGAGGGAGAAGCTTCTATTTTTTGTTTGTTAATTATTTTGTTTACCAGAATTTAAAGTAGCCAATCCCCCATTAGGTAATTGAAACCCTCTAGATAACAAAATATTTTCCATTTGTTCTAATTGGTTAGAATTCAATAAAGAAGAATTATTTTCTCCTTCTTGTTGATTATTTTCTGTTTGTAATTCTAATCTTGGCCTTTTAATTAAATTAATTTTTGTTTCTTTTTTATTTTCTCCTTCATTATTTTCTTCTTTTTCGATTAAATCAGAATTTATTTTTGTTGTTTGGTTATTTGTTGAACATAAAAGGGCTGCTTGAATAAGCATTTGACGTTGAAAACCGGCCATTAAAGCTTCGCGTAATTCGTTTTGAATTGGAAGATCACTGAAAATTTTTTCTAGATTTTTTATTTTTTATTTAAATTTTTACTTAAAGAATATTAATTTAGATTATTCGAGGAAAGGAAAGGTGGTTAATTTAAAAATAAAAGAATTTACTTAGGGAAAGATTTAACTCTTAGTTGTTATTCTTTTCTGATTCTGGATCCCTAGCGCTTTGAAATTTTGATTTTACTTTCTTTACTTTTATTTTGAACTGGAAAAGCTCAGATCGGTTTTGAATACGAAAATTTTGCGATTTTTTAGTAAAATTAAACCGTTTTCTATAAAATTTTAAAACCGAGAATTGATAAATTGACGATTTCTTGAAGGTTCCCCTCTTTTAATAAAGGTATGAAAACGATACGAGTATGAATCTCCCCTCCACTCATTCATATTTCAAAAACTAAATATTTTCCCCTAAACTCTTAAATTCTTAAAAATAAATTTATCTTTCAAAACATTTATTTTTCAGTATTTTTTAGTGAAATCCGAGATTTTACTTTCCTTATTTTTTCTACAATTTTCCCATTCGCGCAATCATTTGTTTATGTAATATACTTAAATTACTCTTTAATTCTTTATCCTTTTAAAATCCTTTTATTTGGATTAAATAAATTTATAAAATTAAAAAATCCTTTTTCCCCCTCTTCTTCTTCTAGTTTTTTTGCCTTTCCTTTTAAAAGAATTTTTATCCCAACAAAAATCCTCATTCTCCTCTCCTCTCGACTTCTTCCCTACCTCTCTTCCCTCCCTCCTCTCTTCCTACTACCAAAATCCCCCCCCCCTCCCCTTCTCTACTTCTTTCCCTTCAATTTAATCCCAACAAAATCCAATAATCGAGTACAAGCTTTAACTAATAAAAAAACCTTTTCCCCTTCCTTCCCTCTATTAAAAACAATATTTTATTTCCTAAAAATTATTTTCACCTCCTTCCCTCACCCCCTCCCTTCCCTCCCTCTCCCTTCCCTCCAAAAACATTATTTTTATTATTTAATCCAATTTGCCTTTTCTTTTTCAAAATATATTTATGCCAATATATATTCCCCAAAGCTTGGAATTATATAAATAATTATTGAAGAGAAAAGCATGTTAAATTTATGGTAGAAAAAAAGAAAAGATTTTTTTTAATTTATGGGCCAGAAAAATATTTTTGTCGTTTTTATTAAAAATTCGAATAAAAATGAGAGAGAGAGAGAAATTAAAACTAAATTTATGATACCTCAAAAAACTGTTAATTGCCTACTCTAAAAATTTTCAAAAAAAAATTTCAAAAATATTCTAATAAAAGCTCGCTCTCCTATAGTGGTTAACAAAAATAAAAGAAGGCGTTTATTAGAATAAATTAGTTAGAAATGAAATTTTCTAAAATTTATTTTTCAAAGACAAAAGTTCCCAAAAAGATCATTAGTAGATATTTTAATAAATCGGAAAAAATTTTTGCTAAAAAATAATTTTTTTATTTCTTTCTTAAATATTTACAGTAAGAATAACAATAGAAAAAGAAAGAGAAGGGGGATTTTACTTAATATTAAATATTTATTTAAATATGTCAATCAACTTTTTTTGGATCATCCAAACAATTGTCAAGAGTTTATTATTTTGAATATTTAATTAAAAATAGTAAATTTACATAATTATAGCAACAGAAAAAGTGTTTAGGGGAAAAATAAATTTTGTGAAGCAGAAAAAATTATTATTAAAAAAATTTCTTAAAAAATGGAAGGAATGGAAATTTAAAAAATTATTAAAGTAAATATTGAAATTTATTTTAAAATTGAGTTTTTCCTATTTTTAAACCTATCAACTTATTAAAAAATCTTTTAAAATTACCGTATTTACTCGATTAATTCCCCTCCCTCAAATAATTCCCCCTGCTACGGATGAGTGAAACAATAATCCCCCTCCCCCAAATATTCTACTACACGTTCAATTTTCAAAACTCGAATAATTCCCCTCCCTTGAATAATTCCCCATGGCACGGATGGGTTGAAGAAATAATTCCCCAGAGGAATTAATTGAGTAAATAAAAATTAGAGATAAGGTAAAAATGAGAGAGACACGAAATTTTTGAATTAAAAAATAGTCAAAAGAAAATCTAAATTAATCAAATTTTTTATAAATATACTAAAGGTTGTTAACTACTTTCTCTAAAAATTTCAAAATTTTAGGTTGTGTACTCGAAAGATTATGTTCAAAAAGAGAAAAGAATTTTCAAAAAGGACGTCGATTTCGGTTATTCCATTAATCATAACTAGAGTTAGGAAATTTAGGCAATAAAAAGTTAAAAATAGGCGCCTATATAGGCACTAAAAAACTGCCAAAATAGGCACTAAAAATGCGAAAAGGCAAAATAGGCACGATTTTTTCGAGATTTTTTGATTTAAATTGACAGAATTTTCTCAAAAAAGATAAATTTAAGCAATAAACTGTTAAATAAATTAATTTTGACGATCGGAATTACATATAAATTAGTTTATATTAATTATTTTGTTTCCAAAATTAATTAAACAAATTTTTCAGAAGAAAATTTTTACCAAAAAATTTTTTGAAAAAAAATTTGTTGGAAAAATCTTATATTTTACCAGAAAAAAATTTTTTAGACAAAAATTTTTTTAAAAAATGACAAAAATTCGCAAATTTTAGAAAAAATATGCAAAATAGGCTGAAAAAAGGCAAAATAGGGCATTTTTCCAGAAAAAGCTAAAATAGGCAATTTTAGGCAACGATAAAAGTAGTCAGAAAGAAGATTTCAGTAAAATAACACCTGATTTGGACGTTTCAGCATCAAGCCTATCTAGGAAAAAAACAGGCATTTGCCTAAAAATCCTAACTCTAATCATAACCTTCAGAATTTTTGACCAAAAATTCTGAAATTTTTAGAATTGTTAATAACATTATAGAGGATCTAAATATTTAAATTCCAAGTTAAAAGGTATTTCCCAGCTATTTTATATACGCCCGCGCCGAATTACTCTTTGCGCCGAAACTGCCTTAAATAATTATCCCTCTTTAATTTTTCCCCTTAAATTTTAAATTTACAAAAATTCTTTTTTACCCAATTTGTTCATTAATTTGAAGTTTTCTTTGTTGTAAATTAAAAGAAAGATCAACAGGTTGTTGTTGTTTAATATTATCTTCTTTTTCACAATTTTCTCCTCCTTCTTTATTTTTAATTAACGAAAAAGAATGCTTTCTTCCACTTTTATTGTTCACTAAACTTGTTGAAGGTTCACTGGAAGAACCCCTTTCTGGTGTTCCTTTTAAAGATTTTTGTTGTTGTCTTTTATTTATTTTATCTGCATAAGCTACTGGACAACCACTTAGAGAACGGTGGGAATTGCGAGACTGGAAAAAAAGAAAAAAATTTTTGAGAAATTTGAAAGGTTTTTTTGAAGATTTTGAGAGATTTTGTGGAAATTTAAAAAACATTTCCATGAAAAAATAACCAATTTTCAAAATTAAATTTTTCCTTATAAATTCTTTTTTTATTAATCTCTCCGACGATTCTCCGACCTTTATTCCGGTTTGTTTGAATACCGAAGTTGAAATACTGAAGTCATAGAAGTCCACTCAATGACCCATTTAAAGTGGCTCTCTATTGGGATTCCTAAGTGTTTAGGTATTATAAATTTTTTTAGAAGAAGGTCCCTCATAATTAAAAAACTAATTAGAAATTTTACAATTTAATTAAAAATTAAAAATCTTTCTTTTTAAAACATACAGAATTAACATGTCCTCTTCCATCACAACCGGGATATGTGCAACGAAGTTGTTGGTCTGGTTGGAGGGCCAAAACTTGAAAAATAATTTTTTTTAATTATTATTTTTATTTTTTTATTAAAAAAAAATTAATTCCAAAAAAATACTAAAATTATTCTTTTTTTTGAAAATAAAAACTTTAATTAAAAAAAGTTTTAATTATTATTTTCAAGTTTTTATTACCCCAAAAATAAACTTTAAATAGTAAAAACTTTATTACACTTATTTTAGTGAAATTAAATATAAGGGGGTTTAGAACTTATAAAAAATTATTAAATAACAAAATAAATTTACAAAAAAATTTTTTTTTAATAATTTGGAAAAGGAGAAAAATTTTTAGAAATTTTTTATTAAGTACTTTCTAAATTATGGCTAAAAAACTCAATTTTTGACCAGAACTTTACAACAAAATATCAGAAAATTCTGAAATTAATAGAAAAGTTAGTGGGTAAAAGTATAAATATATTTATACAAAATTTTAGGATAGAAGGGGAGGTATTAAAGTTTTTTAGTAGTTATTGTTAGGGTTGTCAGATCCTTAGAAATTTTCGGATATCCGGGGTTTTTTCAGATCCGGAATCTAGGTGGTGTATTTTAAATAGAGAGTATCGTTTATAGATAGCCCTCCCTCCCTTACCAAATTAAAGAAAGTTCTCTTAAATTGAGGCTAATTTAGTATTTTGAGTATAGTAGAGGTTTGACTTTACAACCCTCTATAAAAATTTAATTTTTAAAAACATTCCCTTTGTGTTTTTTTAATTTATCTTTGTTCCCCCCAAAAAAGTCGGCAAAACTATTCTTTCCTAGAAAATAAATGACAAAAATGCATGAAAAATTTAATAGGAAGAGAGAGTAAAAATAAATAAATTTTATATTTAATTTTGCCGCTAAAAACATTATTTTCCTTTTAAAAATGTGCAAACAATATAAAGCCATTTTTCAAGTAATTAATCTTATTTCCCAGTAAAAACATTCTTTCTACATAAATGGACATTGAAATTAGTAAATAGAAAAATTAATTTTCGGGGTTTTTTAAAAATTACTGTAGATTACTGTAAATATTTTAAATAAAAATAATTTTATATTTACCCCTTACTGTAACTAAAAAATAAAATAAAAGCTTTAAAAAATGTTTTCTTTGTTCTGTTAATTCTTACTATTTTCTCTTAATCCCTTTTTTAAAGCTTTTAAAGAAATACACAGAATTTTCTTGTAGAAAAAATTTTTTATTAGATTTTGAAAATAATTATTTAAAATTAACTATTTATGACGAGATGGGTTGTTTATTTTTTGATTTTTAAAATACGCAAAGAAAATAAAAATAGGTAAATTCCGGAAATTTTGAACAGAAATTCTTAGGAATGTTAACTAAACTTCTCTAAAAATTTCAAAATTTTTGGTTAATTTTTTGGGGAATTTTAATTAAAAATAAACACACTTTATCCCAAAATGTTTATTTTCAAAAAAAAAATTCTGAAATTTTCAGAATTATGTAAAAAGTTGGTGATTAATTAAAGGACAGTATTAAATGTTTATAAAATTAAATGGGGGAAAGGATTTTTCTTAAAAAAATTTTTTTTATTTTCTAACTCTTTTATTTTTGTATTTTCCTAAAAAATATTTTTGTTTGTTACAAAATATATTTTTCCTCTCTTTTTTTTCCTCAATTCATTTACAATCTGTTAATCTTTTAGAAAATAGAGGAGACATGCGCCCCCAAAAATATTTTTTTTGGAAATATCTAATTATTTAAAGGAATTACTAATTGGTTATTATTATTTAATAAAGAAAAAGAAAAAATTCCGTTAATTTAAGGGCAAAAGAAGCGCTGCTAATATTTTCTTCCCCTCCAATTTTTTACTGTTACAAACACACACACCTGTTCTTTTTACTTATTTTAGTAGAAATATTGAAAAAATAAAATAAAATTAGAGGGAAGAAAAATTAGTTTATTATTTTATTTTTTTTGGGTTTTCTCCAAAAAATAGAATCTCTCCGGAAATAAAAAAATTAAATTTGAAAAAGAAGAGAATATTCATAATATCCCAATAAAAATAATATCAATTTAACTATAAAAATAATTAATTGTCTAAGAAAGTTTCTCGCGGCACAAGAAAAAATTTAAAAAATATTGAGAAGTCTTTAATTTAGAAGTTGTAAAAATAGTGAAAATTAAATAATGTTTTTTGTTTGGTACCGAGCAGGGGTGTGCCGAAAGTGATTTTAAAAAGCGAAAGGCGAAAGTCGATTTAAAAAGCGAAAGACGAAAGGCGAAAGACGAAACTCGCACACCCCTGGTACCGAGGGAGTGTGTTGGAGAGAGAGAAAATTGATTGTTTGTATTTATCAGGTAGAGTTATTCCCGGGAGGGGGGATGACTCTCTCAAAATTAGTAGTTTACGGATAATTAGAAGAATTTTTAGGGGAGGCAGTGCCACGGGAAGGGGACGGGCAAATTTTCAAAAAAGCTCTCAGATTCCCCGTCCCTTTCGAGGACGGAGAACAACCCCTCTAGTATCAGGGGTGTTCCGAAACAGATTTTAAAAAGCGAAACTGGCACACCCCATGTATTTATAGAAAGTATCTAAACTTCCCTAATTTATCCCAACGTCAAAGAAATATTTTACAAAGAAAGAAAAGATTATTGTAGAAAAGAGAGATTACATAAAAAATATTGTTGTTATTTAGGTAGCGGGTAATTAAAAAGAGGTAAAGACAAAGAAGACTTTTATGTAAAAAATGCAACAAATAAAAAAACACCTGCCTATTTTTTATAAAATAAATGAAAAAAGAAATAATTAGAGTTGGCTTAAATTAGTAGTTTTTGGATAATTAGAAGATAAAGAAGATATGGAAAGGAGAAAAAATATTTTTGTAAAAAAAAAGAATATTTGGATTTAATAAAATAAAAGAGATTAAAGTTTTATTTGAGCATTAATTTTGGGGTTTTTTTTTAATTTGGGATTGAGAGTGTGTTTTTAGAGTTTTCCTTAATTCTTTTTAAATTTATACATAGAGGAGGGTTGCCGCCCGAAACCCGATACGATACCCGCAAATTTTTTGTACCCGCAGCAGCCTAGGCTAATTTAATTTAAATTCTTTTTAAAAAATTTTTTAGCACCCAGAGGTCTTAACAACCATTTTTGATACCAAAATTTCCCGTTTAATCCTTTTTTATTTTTTAAACTCAGTTAATTAATTAAAACATATGGCATTACTCCACCTCCACCTCCCCTCATACTCTCCTCTTTTTTAAATAAATAAAGAGGAATGGCATAATTTACAGCTGCATTTGTTATTATGTAAAATTGTGAAAATTGAAAAGAACGTGAATTTAGAGGAAAAAATTTTTAAATATGGCAAAAAATAATGAAAATTATTATTTTTCCCTCTTAATCTAAATAAAAAAATTTCTTTTGTTATTTAAATTTAATAAAGAATAATTTTTAATGAATGGAAAAAAGAGGATTAATTTTTGGTTGTTATTATTTAAAAATTGAGAGGAAAATGAGTGGAAAAAATTTGAAAAAAATAATGATTTTTGGAAGGCTTTCCAAAAATTAAAATATTTAAAAATTAGGAATGAAGAATTAAAAAAAAAAATTATTTTTTAAATTTTTAGTTTTCCTGTTATTTTATTTTAAATTTAAAATAATTAATTTAACCTTATTAAAAAATATTTTTCCTAAAATTAAAAAAAAATAAAAATTTACGATGTATTGTTTGTTTGTCTGGCCTTCGAGGGCAGCCACTCAATGAACGGTGATGGGTGTAGAGACCTGTTTGATGACCAGAACCGTCACATCCGGGGGTTGGGCAATAAAGTTTGGCATTTTCTGAAGAAAAAAAATTTTTTTTTAAATTAAAAAAATTTTTTTTAAAGTTTTTGTAAAATTTTTTGGAAATTTTTTGAAAATTAAAAAAAAATTTTTTTTAGAAAATTTTTCAGAAATTTTTAGAAATTTTTTCAAAAAATTTTTCCCTCCAAAAAACCTTTTCTCCTATTCATTTGCGGCACAGAATTATTCATTCCCTCCAAATTTAAGGCCATAGGAGAAAGAGAACCATCAGGCCTAGAAAGTGGTGAACAAGCTGCAGAAGAGGAATAATAAGGTTGGGGACTAGAAGAATCAACAAATAAATTGTTAACAACAAAATTTTGTTGCTTTTCTTCCTTTAAATTAAAAATTAATTTTTTTAAGTTTTGAAAATATTTTGGAAATTTAATTCTTGTCTTTTACTCTTTTTCCAAACTATTTTGGAACGGCTTGGGATATGCTAGAGAGTTTAATGAAATGAACTTTGAATTAAAAATTAATTAACTCATTTACTCCTTATTAGGGTTGCCAAAATGAACAGACTCGGACCGAAAGATCGAGTCGGGCCTAAGATATTTAGCACGAAAAAGATTCATACTGGGCCGACTCGATAGAAACAAGTCCGTCAAGTCCGAAAAATGCCTTGACCATCGGCCCAACTCGAAAACGGCAACCCTACTCCTTATTAAAACTTAATTTTATTCCATCCTAGTCTTAAGAAGGAAGAATGAAATAAGTGGGAAAGCAAAGAAAAGTAAGTCAAAAATTCTAATCTCAATAGGATATCTGTAAAAGATTTGGACATGAAGGGGAGGAAGAGCTGTTAAACCTTATTTTTAACAAATTTAACAATTTCTAAACAAAAATATATCCACACCTCAGAGGGGCGACCATTTAATTGTTTTCCTCCTTCCTTATCATCTCCTTCCCCTCTCTCCTCAACAATTTCCTCCTCATTTTTTTGTTGTTGTTGTTCCTCTTCTCCAATACTTCCACCTGTAGAAGACCCCCCTTCCTCCAAATTAATAAAAGGATCTCTTTCTTCTCTTTCCCCTTCTTTCCAATTTTTTTCAATATTTACTGGTTGAAAAAGTAAAGATTCAATACTGGTTAATGGAAGTAAAGATTGAGGAGAAGATGGTGGGTTTGTTGTTGGAGTAATTAAATTTATTGAGGAAGATATATCGTTGTTGTTGGTGGTGGTGGTGGTTTCCTTTTTGTTAAAAATTAAATTAGAAAATTTTAAAAGAAATTTTCCATTAAAATAATCAAGAAAATATATCCTCGTTTTTGGAGGGTATATCCTCTTTTTGGATATACCCCCTTTGAGGCTGAAAAAGTATTCCTTATAATGAAGGGTATTTTAAATAGAGGGTATTACTTAGACAACTCAACATCCACTCACTCACCCACACAATGGCTAACCAAATTAAAAAAAGTATCTCAAAGGGAAGGATATACAGTATTTCCTCTATTTGAACAGCGCTCTCCAATAGAGCGACCCTCAGAGAGGGAATTGGAAAATAGAGCGGCAGCCGCTCAATTAGAGGAAATACGTATATATTATCGGACGCACTTAAAAAAAAGAAATCATTCCGGCCGAGTTAGTTAACATTTAATTAAGCTGAATGAAATCTTTAATTTTTAAAATTTTTCTCAGATTTCCTTAATACTTTTATGTTGCTTCTAGCTTCTAGAACCCGCGCCCAAGCAATTGTCGCGCCGAAAAGGTCTCTTTCCTACAATATATTTATTATTCACCTCCTCAATTTGTTCCTCTTCTTGTTCACCAACAAATGGTTGTTGTTGTTGAATTGATGACAACATTCTTTCCCCCTCTTCTTCTTCTAAAGGTTCTTCTGCTAATATGGTAAACGTTCCATTCTTTTCTTCATTTTCCGGGGTTTCTGTGATTTCTTTAGGGGTAATTAATATATTGTTGTTGTCAAAAGTTGCTGATTTTTCTGTTTCCGTTGTTAACCGAATAATGTTTTTAGCTAGAAAAAAATAAAATTTGAAACCCTAAATTTTACAAGTATTTATTTAATTCTTTATCTCCCCTTCCCAACTATTCAACATTCCCTAGTTATAATCTCTTAGATATCCTCCATTCTGATTAAGGTTGGTGGCGATTCCTGGGAAATTTTCGTATATCCGGGGTTTTTTCGGTTCCGGATACCCGAAACCGACAACCTTAATTCTTATGTATTCCCTTCAATTTCTTATCCCCCTTCAGTTTTCCTCTAAACTATCACCCTCCCTCATATTACAAAATATATCTTAGTTATCCCGCCTAAAAGACCCTCCCGATGGGTGGGATAACGTAGAAAACTGAGAGATATTACAGAAGGTTTTTAATTATTTAATTTAATTTTTTCCAACCTTCAGGTTTCCTTCTTCTCTTTTTAGCACTACAATCATTACTAAATACTTCTAATGAATTTGGGGGAGTGGGGGTATTTGAGGGGGGAATGGAAGGTCTTGTTGTAGTCAAAATAATAGGGCAAAGAGTGGGGGAAGTAAAATTGTTTTTATTGTTGGAAGAAGTTGCTGTTTCCATTTTTTAGTCAAAAAATATTTTCTAAAAAATTTTTTTTTATTTTTTTAAAATTAATTTTTTAAAGAAAGTGTCTAAATAAAAAATCACAAGGAGTGACTTTGAATGCCAAATAAATGGGGAAGGGAGGGAGTGAAAAAAGAATTGTGGAAATGAGGGGGAAAGAGGGAGAGAGAGAGAGAGAAGAAAATTTGAGGAGAAAATTTTAAGTTTTAGCTTTAAAGTTTTGCCAATTTTTTGAAGGAGATGATTGAGGAGGGAAGAGGGTGAATTAATCAATAATTAATAGATTTTTAAAAGTTATATAAATAAATTTAAATAAATGTAAGAAATAGTGAAGAAATGAGAGGTTAGAGATTAGAGAAAAGTCTGTGTTTTGTATAAAGTTTTGATTTCAAAAACATCTAAAAACATTTGTTTGTTAAATTCTAAAACAAAACATATAACACTGAAACATAAACATAAGATGTTTTTGTCTAAAACATAAAAACATGTTTGTCGGAAAATGAACATTAAAATAAAGTTGAAACAAACAAGTTTCTAAGTTTTAATTTTATCTAAACAAAAGGAAAAAAGTTGGACAACATGGAAACATGTTTAAGAAAACATCAAATAAGAAAAACATTAAATTAAGCTTGTAAAACATGTTTAGTAACCAAAAAGAAGAACAAAACATGTTCAAATCTCTAGTAAAACATTAAATATTAAAACAAGCTAAATTAATAATAGGTAAAGTAAAATGCCCAAGAAAGTGTCTTTAAAGTAAGGAATATTAAAAAAAGGAGGAAATGAGAGAATAATTGTAAGGGAAGTACCGCCTACTTTTTTTTATTTTTTCTTTTACTTTTCTTCTTTTAACTATTTTCTACATTTACTTTTTAAATACGCCCAACTTGCCAAGCGGCTGACCAAAAAGTCTTTTATTTAGTAGATATATGTACAGTCTCCCTCTCCCTCCTCTCTTTCCAATTTTTTTCTTGTAAAAATAAATTTCCCAAAGCCATCTTTGGGATCCTAAAAAGTAAAAAAAGAAGAAATGAAGCTAGTTAAAAACCTATATGTAATAGTCAACTTGGCCTGAGCAACAAAAAAAAAGTAAGAGAGGAAGGGGGGAAGGATGCAGCTGGTTGAGAGAAAAGAAAAAGCTTTTTTTAGTTTTCTTCTGTTTGCCATTTCTTTAAAAATTACTTTTAAATGACAACCAATAGGGAAAGGAATACAAGTTAGTAGTTCTCACAAACAAGTTGTACATATACATACTTTTCTATTTGTTTGTCCCGCCCATTTTTCTCCCCAAACATTTATTTTAATTTTCCTTTTCTTATAAACATATTGTTCACAAACATGTTTTAATGAAGAAAAAACATGTTCAGAAACAAAATAAACTTTGAAATAAACTTTCAAATAAACTTTAAAACAAACATGTTCAGAAGAGATTAAGAAAACTTTAAGATAAAAATAAAAACAAAACTAAAAACATGTAAACATCAAAACAAACATCAAAACAAACATCAAAACATTAATAAAATTAGATGTTTTTACCAAAGTTTCTTGTTTTTATTTTTATTATTCCAAGTTTCCAACATATTGTAAAAGTTGCTAGGAAAAGGATATAATGAGAGAGTAATCCTTTTTAACAAAAGGAAAGAATATATGTATTTCTTTCACAAAAAAATTAAATTAAAAAAATTTTATATTTGCATAAAGAATAGAAGAATATTAAAAAAAGTATTTCTAAAGAAAAAAAACTATTTTTAAATTAAATAAAAGACGCTGAAAAAGGCTTATCTCTTCTATTTTTTTCTATTTATTTTAACCATCTGTGTGCCATTCAAGAAAATCTTTTTTTTTTAAAATCTTTTAATTGGACTTTTTCCCCAAACTTTAAGTCAAAACCCCCAAGGGAATGCGCAGCCTTTTCTTTTTGATTTTGCCTTTTTAAACTTGAAATATTTTAAAAAGACTGGCGACAGGAGAGGGGAAAAGAGAGAGAATTGTCAATAAGGAGTGGAGAACATTAATTTTATTTGGTGAGGTTAATATTGTTGAGATTTTGAATTTAAATTTGTTTTTGAATGTTTGAATAATAAAGAGGAAAACATAAACATGTTTTAAACAAAAACATGTTTTCACAACAAAAACATGTTTTAGAAAGGTAAACTTAATAAAATGTTCGTAAACATATTAAAAACAAATAAACATGTTTAGGAAGTAAAAATAAACTTTATTTGTTGTTTTTGTAATCTTAGATGTTTTATCTATGTTTCCAGGTTTTTGGGTTTAGTTTTTATTTTGTTATTTTAATTTTGTAATGTTTCTGAACATGTTTTAATTAATTTTTATTAACAATATAAAATATTTTTAAAATAAAATAAATTAAACAATAAATTTTTAAAAATTAATTTTAAATCAGGACAGAAAAAAATAAAAAAAAAGTTGATGGACGCCAAATAAAAAAATAAAAAAAAGTGAGTGTTGAACGAAGGCATGGATTTTGTAAATAATAAAAGGGGGGATATATATTCTTTGCTTTAAAAAAAGGGAAGGGCAGATGCGCGTACAATGGCAGATGGCCAGAGTTTGGAAAAGTAGAAGGAGAGAAGAGGGAGATCTTCCTCAAAAAGGGGGCGGAAAAATATAAGAAGAAAAAATTTTTGATGAGTTTTTGGGGGAAAGGATTGCGGGGAGGAGGGAAGGAGGGAGGGGGGGGGGGGAAGGGGAAAGAGGGAGGGAAGGGGGGAAGGGGGGAAATTATTTTTAAATAATAATAAAAGTTTTTTCGGCAAATGACCGTCA